GAGGAGAGAGTATGCTCTCCATGAACATTGGTTTTCAGTGCTACGAACCTCCATTGGTGTATTATTGGTGCAATGCGGCTCTCTGGACACAGTGTGACTATTTGGCTTTCAATGTGATGGTGTGATCTGGAATTGTCATCTCGCTGTTACTTATTTTCCTTGCAATTTGGTATCGGAGCTGGTTCATATTGCGCTTCACTGGTTCTTCGTAATAGCTATCGGTGCTTCGCATGAGGTGTGGGGCAGTGATAAGGCATTGGCGTTGAACGATAGGCGACCCAGGGTAGTGTGGGCGTGCCAGGGAGCTATGTGGTGACATACGGGGTGTATGCTGGATGATGAGAACTTGCTGATGTGGCATATTAAGCCGAAGTGGAACCGCATTCTGCTGTTGGTTGTGCTGAGGCAAAGACCGCTCATCATAATTGCACATCAGGTTACCGGTGAGAAAACTGTGGTTGGGGGCAGCATTTATGAGGTACGTTGCTCTCTTCCTTATCTACCCTCTTCATCTCTTCTTACCGTGAGGAAGTGAGTTTTGTCTTGAGCGTCTTCTCAGTGTAAGGTGTCGCGAGCGCTCAACCTTGAGAGTCGACGTTCTTCTTGGGCAGCAAGCTCGTGGGAGACGGGTGAAGCCTCTGAAGGGCCCTGGACGAAGCACTCGGGTCACGGTCACCATGCCAACCCGCTGGGACTAGTACACGCATGCTTGGGCTACAAGTCCTTGGTTCTGCTGCTTGCGCAATAGAGGCCGTGCTGGGCATGCCAGCCTTTTATGAGACGCTTACCAGACCGTCTATAAATATTTCTGGTTGGGAACTCGGATTGAACCTGGCTGTGATCGTCGTCCAGACTACGACGTAAAATAATTCCTGAGGAGATGGGGGCTCTCCTAAAATTCCTCCTGATCAGCCAAATCAACCGGGTGTAAGGCTCGTTCCGTACGAGGGTAAATAAGAGTGGACTGGCTGGCTTGTTCGGCAATGACTTGGGGCACAGGGGTGGGCCGGATTGCACACCTTCAGACACGGTGCTTAACCAGATGCTCAGGAACGTTGACACAAAGTGACCAATCAAAAAGGATACATGGGGAGGGGGGATTCCGGTAACTGTTCCCAGTGGCAATCAACTATCAATCTGCCATCCAGTATACATCTCCAACAGGAGATGTTATTTTTATTTTGATGATCTAGTTGTGACAGACTTCGCTAACAACTGACAGACAGCTACGCTCAAGTTAGATCTTTGCTGCAGTGTAATCTGTTCAAGGGTAATCTAAAAATAAAATTAATATATCATGTAGGACCTAACTGTTTCTGTTCCATCCGACCGAAATTAGTTGTGTTTCATAATCGGTTGTGTGTCAGGCTAAGGTAGGATTCAGTGTGGATTCTAGTTTAGATCACACACACTGTAGCTCATGAGTGATGCAAGCACTAGTGAGGAGGAGTTGCTAATGGACGATCGTAGGACAACTCGCGGGACTGCTCGTAGTTGACCTTTGACATTCTTGGAGTTAGGTCCACGAGACGAGAGAAGATTGCGGAGAGAGGCTAGAGAGAGGGCAGCGGCAAGGAGAGCGAGGGCAGATGAGGATAGTGCCCAGACTAGAGTCTCAGCTAGTACCGACGCAACCATGGCTACCTCAGCCATGTCGTTAGTCTCTACACAACCCTCTTCGTCAGGAGTCAGTCAGAGTGGTTCTCAGGTTTCCACTAGTCAGATTGCTGCCATGCGAGTCAGCCAGCAAACTCAACTCACGCCACAGGATTTAGAAATCCGGCAGGCAGAAGAACTTCAGGATGAGGTACAGCGGCAGTTGAACGATCCAGCAGAGAGGAGAAGAAAAGCCATACTTAGGAAGGCTAGACTAGGGAGTAGAATACAGGAGCTAGGCAGACTCGAAGCACTAGATGAGGCAGCTTTAGACCCTGCTAGTCGTGCGCTGCTTAATGCTTTACTTTCGGTAGCTGAAGCGCAGAACGTCCAATAGGAATTACTGGCCGAATTGGTGGCAAGCCAGAAACAAATCGTGGCTGAACTTCAGGCTCCTCGCACAGTGGCGAGGCAGCCACAGTTTGTTGTAGTTCCCCCTGTGAGTGCGGGTCCATCATGGATGCCGCCACACACAGGGCAAACCTTCTCTCCTATGTTTGGCATGCCCCCTCCAGGTGGTTTAGCAACAACTAGTGGTCCGGTTCAAAGAGTCTCAGCCGTACCATCCACGACAGTGTTAACTACAGTCCCATTGTCAAGCCAGACCCAGGTTAGTGTGCAACAGCCTGTTTCAGTGACAATGCAGCCGCTGCAGCAAGCCCCTGGGCCCATGCAGCCTATGCAATGGATGCCCAAGATACCTCTGATGAGTCTCAAGCCTTTCTCTGGAGATAGAAAGAAGGAGGAGGATTTGGACACCTGGGTGAGGACTGTGCTTACTTATGTGAGGCACAAGCTCACAAGGCCAGAGCAAGAACTTGTTGAGGCTGCCCCTTTTCTAGAAGGGTCAGCAGCTCGCTGGTTGAATGGTCTAGTGCAGCAACAGGGCTACGGTCAGGATTTCGATGCCTGGGCACGAGCTCAGACATTGGAGCAGTTCGTACGGTCAGTCTACAACAGGTGGCATGACCCGCAAGGGGCTCGAAAGGCCACCGATGCTATCAACAACCTTTGTTCCCGCAGGTTCAAGGATGTTAGAGAGCTTACAGACACCGTAGAACGCCTCCTCGTGGTACCTGGTGTGCGTTTTGACCAGCAGGTTCTCCCGACGGATTACCTAAGCCGCCTACCTGCAGAGGTAAGGACCAAGCTGGTTGACGAGGCCTATGTCAAACAGCACACCTTCGCTTCTTTTAGTAAGAAAGCTCTGGACATAGAGGCAAAGCTGGGGTCTGCTCATAAGGTATCTTATGATGGTAGGAAGAGACTACCCCAGGACTGAAAGAAGAAAGGTCAGTTAATGTTCGTTGACCATGATGGTAAACGACAGAGATTGACGAATTCCCAGACCTTGGGGAGTTGACAGAGCAGGATGGGGCCAGCGAGACTTCGGATGGGGGAGTCATGGCGCCCATCAAGAAAAAGGCTAGGGGGACCGGAAAGAAGAAGGTAGGACGGGCCACGGGTCAGGGAGACCAAGGAACTGCCGCATGGGTAAAGCTTGGTTTGGATTACGAGGTGTCGCGTGACCGCGTTGCTAGGGGTACATGCATGAATTGTGGCAACTACGGCCACACTTCCAGGACTTGCCGTGGCAAGAAGGTCACAACGAAGGTAGCCTCACCAACGGTGGTGGGCTTATCTTCGAACCCTGGGAGTGCTTCTGCGAGCAGCTCACAGGGAAACACCTCGAGTCAGTAGGAGTGTTAGCCGCTCTTACTCGCACTGAAGTGGTAACGTTGCCTTCCCCACTTCAGGCGTTGGCCAAGGCTAGTGACCCATACATCGCCCCGCAGACACATTCAGACCCACCGACACTCTGTTCGAGAGATGTGTCTAAGGCCCTAGAAGAGTGAGATGGTCAGGGAAGGACCCCAGAGACTCTTGGACGATGATAAGTAGAGGTCCAAAGGGTGAACATTTCGTGGTAGAAGTAGATGTAGGTGGCCGCAAGGTTGGCGCCTTCGCAGACATAGGCTCTACACGAAATTTCATCAGTCGTGCTTGTGTGGATAGACTGCGCTTAGGGGACCAAGTGCAGCGGCTTAGCAGAACTATAGCTTCTACGCTAGCCAACAAGCACCAAATGTTGGTGAAAGACTATGTCAAGGACGTAGTCTGCACTTTCTCCTATGGAGGAGGGGAAGTGAGTCATAAAATCTCCTTCCTGGTTAGCGACGAACTGCCATTTGACATGCTCCTAGGTATGTACTACCTCAAGGTCGCGCAACCGCAGTTTGAATGGGATAGAAACGTATTGATTCACAAGTTGCCCAACAACAGATCTGTTAGATTGCAAAAGTTCAAAGCTAGCAGTCTAATAGAAAACTACGGGTGCATGTGTGCATCATCTTTCTATAACTATTATAAGCAGAATCGCGAGGAAGGCATGTAGTTTTTGTCTCTGAGAAAGGGGAGGCCGTTAAAACACCCCTAGAGATAGAAAAAGTCGTCGCTCAATATTGAGACCTTTTTTAGGAGCCCACAGGCGTGGTAGAAAGGGAGGTTGTCCATGCGATAGAGGTTGTCCCAGGTAGCAAGGTGCCTAGAGGACGAATCTATAGGATGTCTCCTGCGGAGTTAGATGAGCTTCACCGCCAGCTCAAGGAGCTCACAGAGAAGGGATGGATACAGCCTAGTACCTCCCCGTACGGTGCGCCAGTCTTATTTGTCCCAAAGAAGGGAGGTCCATTAAGGATGTGCATTGACTATAGGGGCCTCAATGCCATGACCGATAAGAACGCGGAGCCCCTACCCCGCATTGACGACCTCTTGGATAGAGTGCAGGGATGCCGGTACTTCACAAAGATAGACTTGAAGTCTAGATACCATCAAATTGTCGTTAGACCTAAGCATCAGTACAAAACCGCATTTCAGACCAGGTACGGTCTGTACGAGTTTGTGGTGATGCCTTTTGGACTATGCAATGAGCCTGGTACGTTCCAGCACGCGATGAATAGGATTTTTCATGACTACTTGGATAAGTTTATCGTCGTGTACCTCAACGATATTCTCATCTTTAGTAGGACTGTAGAGGAGAACGTTGAGCACTTGAAAACAGTGCTAGGTATCCTAAGACAGCGCCAGTACAAGGTTAACTTGTGACAAATGCGAGTTGGTCGCACCAAGGTCTTGTACTTGGGTCGTGAAATCTCAGCAGATGGATTGAGGCCGGAAGATGCAAAGGTGGCCAGCATACGTGACTGGCCTAGACCTCAGACTGTTACTGAGGTCAGATCGTTTTTGGGGATGACGGGCTATTATCGTCCGTTTGTGAAGAATTATAGTACTATAGCTTCCCCATTAACAGATTTAACTCGACTTGACACCCCTTGGGAGTGGACTGAAGAGTGTGAGGCAAGCTTCAAGAAATTGAAGCATGCACTGACACACTATGAAGTTCTCAAACTTCCTGATCCTGACAAGCCGTTTGTTGTGACCACAGACGTCAGCCAATATGGCATAGGCGCGGTCCTTGCGCAACAGGAAGGGCCCAAGTTGAGACCGATCGAGTATATGAGCAAGAAGATGCCAGCTCAAAAATTAGCTAAGTCCACGTATGAGAGAGAGAGCTCTATGCCCTATATAGAGCACTAGTTCATTGGAGACACTACCTCCTAGGAAGATTCTTCTATGTGAGGTCAGACCATGAGACTTTGCGCTGGATTAAAACACAGCCTGTCGCTCAAGAGATGGATTCAAGTGATAGACATGTATGACTATCAACTTGATCCAATCAAGGGTACGTATAACAAAGTGGCTGATGCACTGTCACGAAGGGCAGATTATCTGGGCGCGCTAGTTACCGAGTTTGGCATATCTGACGAACTCACTCGATCGTTGGTGGAAGCCTATCAGGGAGACCCAGTCATGTCATAAATCATCCGTAGATTCCAAGCAAAGGACAAGAAGACTTCGGATGAATTAACGATGGTAGATGGCTTGTCGTTGCTTGAGAAGGCAGGGAATAAAAGACAGTGTTCTGTCTACTGAGTCTTTGTGTAGCTTATTTTTAGGAGAATGGCATGATGCAACTCGTCATTTTGGCTATAGGAAGACATCAGCGAACGTAGTGCAGAGATTTTGGTGGCCTTCTATGTTGGAAGATGCAAAACGTTATGTTGAAACCTGCCAGGTTTGTCAGAGAGACAAACCAAGGACTCAGGCTCCGCTTGGGTTGATTAAACCCTTACCGATCCTTGAAGGACCAGGCCAGAGTGTGTCCATGGACTTCATGGATATCCTTGTGACCAGCAGGTCAGGAAAGAGACACATCTTTATCATAGTGGACCGTTTTACCAAGTACGCCAGATTGATCCCTATGCCTGAAATTGCTAAAACTGACTTCGTCATCGAACTTTTCATGGGTAACTGGGTGAGAGACTTCGGTCTACCTACGTCTATCGTTAGTGATAGGGATGTCAGATTCACGAGCGAACTGTGGCAGTCTACTGCTAAACAAATGGGCACAAAACTCCAAATGACTTCAGGTAATCATCCTGAGTCAAATGGGCAAGCAGAACAAATGAATAGAGTATTACAGCAATTGCTTAGGCACTATATCAAGCCAAGTCAGGACGACTGGGACGAGAAACTACCTCTCGTTGCCAGCCTATACAACAATGTTGTGCATAGTACTATCGGCATGACTTCCAACCAACTCCATCTTGGTTGGAAGCCCCGAACCGCCGCAGACTTTCTGCTACCAGAAAGTGAACCCACTGCAGCACCCGGCAGTATAGAGTTTGCTGTCAAGTATGAACGGATGCAGCAGCAAACCGTTGAACATATTAAGAAGTCTCAAGAGACAATGATTGCATCTGAGAATAAAAACATACGGCCCTCTAACTTTCAGGTAGGCGAGAGAGTCTGGATTAAGGTTGTTGAGCTTGGTCAGGAGTTAGGCATATCCCGCAAGCTAATGCCACAGTTCTTTGGGGCCTGGGAGATCTTAGACATTGTAGGAGATCAACCAGACGGTCCTTCATATGTAATCCGCATCCCACCTCATTTGCGTACCAACCCTGTGTTCCATGCGTCTAAGTTAGCACCCTATGCTGCTACTAAGCAGTTCCCTTCCAGAAGATCAATGCTGCCCCCAACCATGAATGGCGAAGTGGACATTGACCAGATCGTGGAGCATCGAGTGATGCCTGTTCCTCGACCATCAGGCAGAGAGCGACCTCCGAAACCGAGAATGCAGTATCGTGTGAGCTTCAGACATCATCTGGATCCTAAAGAAGACCGACGGTTCACACGAGAAGAACTCATGAGAACAGCACCTCAAGTAATCGCAGGCTATGAAAGAGCACTCAAGGGGAAGATGCCTGCAGAATGAGAGACTTCTCAGAGGACTCACGAAGTAAAGGAGGAGGGAATGCGAGGATCGGGGTCCTCGGTACGCAAGGACCAGGGAAGGTCCCACAAAAGAAAAACGGAAACAAACTTCAAAAAATCCGAGGAAAACCTATGTTATGAAGAAAAATAAGTTGAACAACTTATGCCCCAGGCTGACATCGAAATTCTTTACCAAATGTTTTTTTAAAGTAATTACGAAAAATAATTATATTTTATTTAAGTTTATTTGCTGCAGCGTGGTGGTCGTCGATTTCTTCAGAAAACACGACATTGTTATGTGTCGGACGTTGATAGGTCTGCTTAGCCACATAGTGCGGCTGGGATTGTCTCTCGTTAGCGGCCTTGTCGTCCGTTTGGATGACCAAGTTCGCTCGATCCAGAATGACCTGGAATGTGGTATAGTCGTACTCATTACCGAGTGCCGACCGCAATCCCGCGCACGATCGCGAGAAGAACTCGGATCGTTGATTTGGAAACGTCAAGTCGAAACCNTTACCGAGTGCCGACCGCAATCCCGCGCACGATCGCGAGAAGAACTCGGATCGTTGATTTGGAAACGTCAAGTCGAAACCTGCTGTGGTCACTATCTTTTGCCACTTCGTTGTCCAGTCTTGAGTTTGCATGTTCCCTTGAGAGCATGTGTACACCTCATTCATGGCCGCCTTCACGACGTTGCGGACCATGAACCGGGTGAACCATAGTTGCTCGAACTCCTTCCACGTAATGTGTGTGTGGAGTTCGGCGATAGAGCACTTGTGTGTAGCCGCTAGGTGGTTCATCCATCCCTGCGCTCCTCCAATCAGCTGCAGATATAGTGCCCTTCAACATGTCGTCCGCCGGGACCATGCAGCATGATGCTTCTATGAGAAAGCGTTGCAACCATGACAAGGCGTCCGACTTGTTGTAATCGTCGAACTTGCTGATGTCAAAGTGCGGCATCTTGAACGTCTTTGTAGCGGCTTCCGGTCTCATCTGTAGCTTGGTGATGTCCGTCTTGATGGCGGCCACCGTGCTGCTGATCGAGTCCGGTCCGTTGAAAGTACTTATGTCGTCGATGATGGTGACGACGTGCTCGATGCGCTCGTTGAGTTGCTTCGTCACGTCTGTCGTGCAGCCTGGCGCTGCTGAGGTGTTAGCCTCTATGCTGTTGGTGCGTGTGATAGTGGAATTCAACAGTTGATGCTGTTGCTGCTGCTGTATTGCCTCTGTGCGGATAACAGTTGTTAACGTAGTGATATCATTCTTGTATGTTTGTCGCTGCGTTGCGTCCGTGCGCAGATGTGACTGCAGCAGTGTATTATTCCACATAATACCTCTCATCATGCCCAGCAGCAAGTTAGCCAGGTTACTTCTCTCTGCCTCCGCCGGTGTCGGGTCTGCCTGCGCTTCTGTAGGCACAAAGATCATGTCTTGGAGTATCGTCGTCCACTGATGCTCACAAGCAACCAAGGACTCCGTGCTGCTGGCATTCCGTCTGTCTCGTGTCGCTGCGTCAGTCTAAGTCGTTCACAGAGCTTCGGCTGCCGCTTCATTGGCTAGCCGCTGACGTTCTGCCTCTGCTGTCTCCTTCCGGGCCTCGGCGGCAGCTACGGCTTCTAAAAATGCCAGTAGCCGCCCACGATAATCAGCCGCKGGCTCATTGGCTCCTCGGACAAGGTATGCGGGATGATCTCCGGTGGCGTTTTGTACCGTCAATGCCGTACTTGATGCTGCTGGAGTCGTCCGTCTGCTGAGTTTCTTCGGTCTTGGAGGTACTGCAGGGYGGGCACGAACTGCGATTCTGGCACTGCGTCGTGGCAGTGCCCCGGTGTCCTGTTCCGTCGACATCAGTCTGAACTGATGCGGTACTTGAGAAGTCCCGGTAATCACAGAACACGGGGGGTAGGGAGAGTGGGAACAGGGGTAGAACAATCAAGCAAYATACATACAATCCCCTGTCCCACTGATGGACTGTAGACACCTAATCAAACGAAAAAAATAACTTTCCCGTAAACCCTTCGAAAAATTCGTAATGAGGAATTTATAATGATTTAATCAATAAAATTAATTAATGATAATTAACGAAATAATCCGACAAATAATCAGTAAGCAATGTTTGTAATAAAGATAACCACTTAATGATAATCAGTAAAACAATGTTTGAGGACCAATTAATGATACGAATTTTAAAGATATTGTGATTAGGTCCCTTTGAGATCAATATGAGACCGGGAGTTCACCGTTTAATAAGTGAACTGCCCGGTAGTTGCAATTTAAGGTCAGATACGGCTTAGTGTGCTAAAAACATTTTCGGAAAATTTCAGAAAAAAACGCTCGAATTTTCAAAAAATGCGAATTTTCGGGAATTTCCACCGTCAAAATCCGATTTTTAAAAGCCTAAACCTATTTTCGRAATTTCTCAAACAAGGAGAATGAAAAAAAAATTCGCGAAAATTTCGGTCCCAACCCTAATTTCCGCGTTTCGGCGAAATTTCGGGATTTACGGTCCCAAAACGTTGGGTTTTCCCCAAGTTGATCTAAAACCAAAAGATTTTCATAAACCTAATTCCCATACTGAAAGACAACGGAAATCTCAATAGAAAACAAAATATAGGATTTACAACAGAATGCCAAAAACGGAATGCTGAATGAACATCAGAAAACCGGAAATTCAAACATGATACTGATTCAACCCTAATTACGAATACTTAATCAGAAATCCGAATCAAACAGAATGTTGGATTAGTATCAATCTCTCGGATCTCATTAAACAGCATACCGTGTACAACAGAAATCCGAATAAGAGTCGGAATACTGAATTGAAACGGAAATGCCGAAATAGCGAGAGTACCAAAAAAAAAAAATTTGCAACTTTGAACTTGATAATACTTCAGCGCCGATTTAGAAGATCAAACGTGATAACCTAGTTCTAAACGGTCTTACCTGGTGAGCAGATCCGTTTTGGTCTGCTCCGATACCAAAACTGTTACATACTTCGATGAGTATGGGCAGAACCAAAGATCCACCAATATAGGATGAGCATTTATGCAGCGGAAGTCTGATAACGAACTGACTCACATAGACTGACTCACATAGACTGACCTACATGGCATCACTCCACACACATACAATCATGAGATGGTGGGGTCTGGGTCATGCATAGACGATACCCAGATCCCGTACACACATACACAGATGAAAGGTGGGAGGAGAGACGAAGGAGGTAGGAGGTAGATCACACCGATAGGTCACAAGATAGAGTCCGGTAGGTCTCCGAAATGGTAGTCCAGAATGTCATATAACAAGATCAAATTGTCGAGGACCAAAGGTCACAAATGTCGGAGATAACCGAGTCCAGATGTAACCGGTGTGCAACTGTGATGCAACCGAGTATCAACCTCAACAATCTCCAAGTCTCCAATCAGGTAAGTACCACAGTCTCGTATCACCGAAGTCCAACTCTGATCTCTGTCCAGCTGGATAGTCTCTAATCTGAAGAAGAAGAAGAAGAAGAAGAAGAAGAAGAAGAAGAAGGAGGAAGAGGAGAGAGAGAGAGAGAGGACTGTCGAGGGAGAGGAGGAGAGACCCTCCAAGCTCCCGGTACCTCAGGCGGCAATGGCCGCCGTGCTGGCTCAGTCGCCCTGCTGCTGCTCCGCTCGCTGGTGCGCTATGTTGTGCTCCTGCTTCAGCCCCTGCGCTAAGTTTAGCGCATCAAAACAGTACACTGGTACTGACCATGCCGTGCTGGTAGAGTTCCGGTAGGCCGATCCCTCAACTGAGGCGGGTACCGGTACTTATACCGGTAGGCAATGGTCTGGCCTCAATGTTGCGAGGCCAGACCAGACCCTGGACCGTCCAGATGGACGGTTCAGCCTCAATCGGCGGGCGGCAGCTTCAAGAGCGCCGCCAGGCCCAAACAAAGTGTCGTTTGGGCCTACCCAATGGGTGCTGGTCCAAAATCAGGCCTTTAGGGCCTGTAACCCCAAAAGGCCGGGCCTTTAGGCCCTGGTGTGTCCCTCCGGCCCTAAGTCGGGTCCGGTAGGACCCGTGTGAGTCGAAGATGTAACAGAGAAAGAGAGAGAGGATAACAGCTAAGTCTCCAACCGCGCGGCTCACCTCATGGTACTACCATCGATTTGATGAGCAGAATCGAATGAATCTACCGCTAGAACGTGGAAATATACACTGCCAGTATACATATATATATTTTTTATTATTGTTAT